TCGAATTCACTTTCAAGGTGCCTTGGTGGTGAAATGGTAGACACGCGAGACTCAAAATCTCGTGCTAAAAAGTAAATTTTCTTATGTCGTTACTAAAATATGCTTCGATTTTCACATCAATTATTTTGGTTTAGTTTCACTCGCATCAATCTATCTAGGTTAAACATCTCTAAAAAGACCAACATCAAATATAACAAATTTATCGATGGATACCATATATTTTTCTTTATTTTTTGAAAACCTGTAGCCCATGATTTTGATCCTTAATAGCAAACAAATAGCAAATGAAATATTCTTCTCGGAGTTAAGGGCTTAACCAAGCTGCATCATCGGAGTTAAATGACCTTGTGCCGGTGTAGGAACTAGCACTATTCTTCTCTTCGCTTCCATTCAAGTGGAAGTCTAGTTACGGTAGTAAAGGAATTAAAGAACCTTTGCTTTTAGGTCTTCTCTTTTTCTTACTTTATGTTTTTGAATCGTTGGCTAAATTACTTTTTATTTTGATCCCTTTATTAAATATTCAATTTTACATTCGTCTTCTACAATTGTGTACATTATTTCCGTTGGACATGCAATCCACATCATGGGCGTTAACTTTTATCCCCCTTATAATGATGTAGATAGATAAATTAACCAAAAATTAAAGAAAATGTTCTAGATAGTTCAATTCTTTATTTCATAGAAAAAAAAACAACTTTCTGCGATCACAACTCGTGCATCTTTACTTATGGATAGTTGCCTTGGACCAGCTGTACCAAGGAAGGAGTTAAGCTGGCCGAATTCAGTCCATGAACCATACCAAAAGGAAGCCAATTCACCATCTCTAATCTCACACTTGAGAAATTCTGTAATGATAGGTTTGAGTTCCAGCATACTATTGATGGTCTTAGAGAAACGATTTGACTCTTCAGTTATCCAGTACTATAAAGTTCTTCTCTGGTTTTGATTATTTTTCTTTCCTTGCTATTAATGTGGAACAGATTAGCAATGGTTTCAGAGTCCTGTCATGTGTAGCTCAACTTATAGCCATTGCAATCAACAGAACGGAGCTCAAAATGCTTATTGTAGTTCTCCTCCGAGTAAGTTTGTTTCATCATGGAAACTTAAAACTTTGATTGATTTCCAATCAATTTTCTTTTCACTTAGCCCCACTATTTGTTTGTTTTAGGTGTTTGCCTATATGCGACAGCCACGACCTTGAATGCTACGGTTTCCAACTGGAGAGTGAGTTAACTTGTGTAACCAAATCTACCATGTTTTGCATGTGCTCACGGCCATGTTTTGA